AATGAATGAATAAATAAATAAATAAATAAATAAATAAATAAATAAATAAATAAATAAATAAATAAATAAATAAATAAATAAATAAATAAAATCAGCATGGCCAGGGTCAGGGCTTGTCATATTTGCCAAGTATATATGTGTGGGTTCAGGTCTAAATCATGCTAATCATAGTCATTCACTTTAGTTAGGGAGTGGTAAACCGCTTCTGAGTACTCTGTACCTGAAAAACATTGAAAACCCAGAATTGATTTGATGGCACATGAGTACTTACTGATTGAATCATTTATTGACTTGGTAGCATTAACCAGAGATTACTTGCAACTCATTGCAGTGTCATTGTTCCAGAGACCAAGAATGCAAAGAAAAGAAGCTGAATAAAAATTCTGCTTTACAAGAGTTGCAATATCTACTAGCCTAGCCTGTCAGCTCCTTGGTCACCTTGGTAATTATGTATGCACTGCACCGTCACAAATGCTGAATTATCCCTGAAGATGAAATTAGTTTCTGAAACATTTCCTGAATGGTGTATGCTTTTTTTTTTAAAGCTTATCAGATCATTTGGGATTTAAGGTGACATCAGTAATGAGTCAGACTCCAGAAGCGTTTGATCTCTTCAGATCCAGTAATCAGTATGACTTCTTTTGAAATATTGCCAGCAAGCTTTTTTTGATAATGGCCAGGCACATTTCCTTTAGATGATTATAAGGGAAGGTCTGAATCAATATGTTAAGTGTTCCACGATTTTCAATATTGCCATTTCTAGAAGTAATTAGGAAGCCGCACTGTTATGACTCATGAAGATACTGTAGAAATAAAGGCAAGAACATCTTGAGCAAAATGCATGCTTTGATGTAAGCTCACTAAAATTCAATGGGACCCACTTCTAAGTCGGTATGTCTAGGGTTAGAATGCACTGCATACTGTTTGAAGCCTCTGCATTTTTGTCCTAAGAAAGGTAATCTTAATGTTGAGTTATTTTTCTACTATACTGTTTATGTAACTCTGTGGCAGATGAATGATTTTTGGATTTCCAGGGGCTGCATGCATTCATCCCTGGATGCTGAAGGGATGTACCTGTTCGTGCAACATACCTGCACCGTTTTCTCTCTCTGATAAAATAGATATTTTAACCAGAAATGCCCTTTACACCCTCTAGTGGTCAATATTTCTAAAAAGAAATTGTGTGTATGTGAAGAACCACTAGGACTTGGGGGACCTCAAAACATGACAAAATTGCCACCAACCCCCCTAGAGAATGCAAAGGGACTCTTTGACCCATTTTATTTTTCAAAATAACATTTACATTTGGGGGATTGGAGATGCTGGGTGCCTCAGGGATATTCGGGGCTGGATTTGGGCTCTTAGGGCCTGCAAGCCACCCATAGACCATATGTTGCCTACTCTGGTTTATGGCCAACTTAAAATTCAATTTTTTTCTAGCCATCACAGTTGAAGTGGTATCAAACTGATCTAACTGAGTGGTGCAGATACAACTCTAGAGCACTTTAATCATTTAGGAAATAATCCACGTGAACATTTGCTAAGGAGAATACATATACATATATTTAACAGCCTATAATTTCTCTGAAGATTAGCACAACTATGGTGTGCTCTTTTTTTGCAGAAGATATCAGAGGGAAAGAAGCAAAACATGTGGCACCAAAAGTCAAAGGTAATGTTATCCATTGAAAAAAATTATGAGAGTCATGATTGTTATAATTTAATCAAAACTATTAACCCATCAAAGCAGTTTGTCTCAAGAGTATGTGGCATTGCACACAAATACTAAACCCGGAATGAATATGTTTCTGCACATGTTGAAAAAGGTGATTTTTTTTTACTTGCATTCTCCTTTTGCATCTACAAAGTCCCTTCTCCTAAAACTGATTCAAGGCAGCTTACAGTATTAAAAAAAAATATTAAAAGCTTAAACAATAAACTATTACAATATTAAACAAGATTTAAATAAATATATTAGAAAGTTGTAGATAAAAGCAGTATTAAAAACACATCAGGCAGTCCTTAAAAGATAGCCTAATGTTGAATCAGTGGGGATTGGGTGAATCTACTGGTCCCTAAGTTTCATTGATTCAATGGGCCTATTCTTGTTGCAACTTACTACGTACTGGATTTCAGCCACTGGTATGAGTTGGCTTGCATTTGGTTGGTAGAGTAACTTCCCATGATATAGTCAAACTAGGGGTACTGCTTCACAGGAAACTTGCATGTGTTCCATGTCTAGCTTGCAAAGGTGGAAGACTCCTGAATTTCTGATCTATGTGGTACTTCCATCCCTGGATTAATCATTAGGTAAAATAAGCACGTGCTTAGGGCATCAACAAGGGAACGGGGCACCACAGAGTTTTTTTTTCAATGCTGGATTTTCCATGGACCATGAGGCAAATGGTGCACCTTCCTTAAAAAAAAACACACCCATCCATCCAAATCCCCCAGCTCTCTCCCTCCCTCCCCGAAAAGCCCCAAGAAAACCACCTCCCTACCTAAAGCAACTGAATACAAACCAGGAAAAACTAAAAAGCATAAATACTCACCTAGTGAGAAAACTCATGTTTTGAGTGATATGATCAATCACTATCAGTTGGTGTGTTTTTTTAAAAAAAATATTTTTACTTCTATATTTTAGGAGGTTGAGTGGGGATAAAAGGATAAAAAGAGCTGTTGGCTTTTTAGACCTCTGGCCTCTGCACTATATCTGTACATCAAAGAAATAACAGCCTGTGTTAAAAATATCCCAAAGGGGGTTTAAAACACTTCTTTGAGCTTTTCAGTTTACAGATTCTGACAAAATCTGCCTACTTTAATCAATACGTGAAAGCGCAAGATTTAGCTGGAAGCCAGTAATTTGATGTTACGTATGATTTTGCATACAATACATAGTTCTTTTTTCCCCACATACTATCCCATTGAATTACTGTATTTTCATGCATATCATGTATGATTTTTTTAAAATTTTTCAAGCCTTGGGACCTGCCATGTGTTATATTTGTAGGGGGCACCAAAATCTTTTCAGTGCTTAGGGCCTCTAAGGTCTTAATCCAGCCCAGGATTCTTCATAGGGGAAATGTGACTACTTCTTCCCATCTCATACTGCAGAAGAATTCTTGATCCAAACTGGAGCCTCATGTGGCTCTGTCGAAATGAAAAATCCAGCTCAGTTGTGTTCTAAATATTTAAAAAGTTTTGTGTAATTTAGCTTTGAGTTGGACAGGTTAGAAGGCATGGATACGTCTTCATGTCCTTTGTTATTTGTAGCACGTAGAACTGCCAAGGCTATCAAATGAATATGTGGCCTGGCCCCAGCACAAGTATTCTTGCATTGTGGCACTTTAACTAGTTTTATTTGATCTAGGCTTTGGTAGACTGTGATCTACTTCATCAGGAGCAAACGAAGAAGGGAGCTGAAGTCTTGTGAGCTCCACCAGCAGGTGGCCCATCTCCTCCATCCCTGGATTTATAGACTTGAAAATAGGTGTTTCAAACAAAACAGGGTTTATTGTATTTTGGACAGGTCTTTTTAACAGAAGTGCATTATCGTACCTGGCTTCCCCCGGGCTAGTTAATGCCAGTAGCCTGTCTCAGTCCTGCTTTGCTCCACACCCCAAGTTAACGGCACCGGAGTATGAAAGTCTATAGTCTAACTCACGTGCTGCTGAAACTTTAGGTCTGCAAAAGCAAGTGCCAGCACACTCTCAGTTTGGCTAGGGGACATGACAATGCTTAGTGCCCTGACGGAGTGTGGGTTGGAGTCAAGAGCTGCTTTTGCTGGAGATTATGCTGACACTCCTTTTGATGTTCCTGTCTCCAGTGTCATAGCTTCACTGGGGCCAGTTCTCCCAGACAAGATCCCAGCTGTGGCTGAAGGTTCTGCCTCTGTCATCATTCCCCCAAGAAAAGCAGTCAAGGTGTTGGCCACGGATCATGGTTTTCTCTCTCTTCCCCACCTGCATCTGCATTAAGACCCTGGACCCTCCTTTATAACATAGTCCCACTCCGCAGGTGGTTCAGGCTCTTCCTCATAATCTTTCTCCATGTTGTATGCCTTTCCTCCTTCCTCCTGGGCATCATCCTAGGCTCCCCTCTCCTCTCCTCTCCTCTCCTCTCCTCTCCCTGTGAGAGTATCCATTCTTCTCTCTCCTTCTCCACATTCACCTATTTCCCCAGCTCCTCCCACCTCCTGACTCCTAGCTAGCCCCTTTGCCCCGCCTCCCCCCAGAGGTGCTTTCCAAAGTGGCCACACTTTTTCACCATCTTAGAAACCAATACCTCTTGTTTGGGTCTCTGACCCATGTCACTCTAAATTCTGTTTCCCCAGTAGCTTCTTGATTACTACTATCTCCAGGGCTTGGGCTGGGGCTAGATGTCTAGAGTTGCAGAGTCAGTCTCATTGGGATCCCCCTCACAAGCCCACAAAAGCTTATGCCAAATAAAACTTGTTAGTACTTAAAATGTCACAAAACTCTTTTATTTTTGCTGGAACAGGCTAACACACACACCAGAATTTTCCTGTATTAAATGCTGCTAGAGCAGGTATAGGCAATGTGGCTCCCTGCAGATGATGTGTACTACAACTTCCATCATCCCTAATCAGCCTGGTCAAGGGATGGGGTTGTAGGAATTGTTTAAAATGGTGGGACAGTCCAGGTTGTTTCTCTAGTCTGTGGCATGTAAAGACTGGGAGTGAAATTATTTGTTCATGTAATTCAAATGGGATCTTGTCTTAGCAGATAGTTTCTACAATTAATTTCCTTGGCATGTGTCTCTTCAATGCCCAAAAGAAGTCTTGCATTTAGAATGCCAGATCAGGTCAGGCGGATGATAATTGAATGCAATTAAGATTGCTACAAGCTGTAGCAGTTTTTCACCCCAGCAAGTGACATTCAAGATGGTGTGGAATTATTTTGTGACTCTCAAGACATCAGGCCCATTCTATTCCTACCAAAGCATCACTTATCTCAGCATATGAAAGGTCAAATAGTTCAACTCCAGCAGAAAATTAGTCAGTAAGATTTGAGCCATCTTTATTCAGTGGCAAAAATCTTTGCAGAATCAAGGTCAGGAGAATTTAAAGGCCAACATTCAGTGCCAGTCTTGGTCAACTTACCTTCAAGGTAAGTCCTGCTGGTGGGGCCCTCAATGACAAGCAAAAGACAGAGTGCTAACCTCAGAAACAGAGAACTCAAGCCAAGGGGACCTGAAGCTCTGACTGGCCTTCATGTAGTTCTCACCATCTGTCCATCCATAAAATTTAGCCCTGGGTTCTTTATTATGAGGGTCTAAATGCAATCAGAACCTGGAAACATGCTTTTAAAACAAATCTTTCCCTGGTATTGATTCCAATGTTTCAAAAGCAACTCATTGTTCCTCATGAGTAACTTGTAGCATTCCTTGTTGCATTACTCTTCATTATCCTTCTGCTATTTAAAAAACCTATATAAGAAAATGTCATAAAACTTGAAAAATTCCATTCAGAATGCCCTTAAAATGCCTTATGTTCTGAAAAAGTAATAAGAAAATGTTTGTCACAATATATAGACACACAAAAGGAGCTGGGGTTGCACACATTGCATGACTTAATATATAAATTTATTGAGCCCTTCATCACAAAAAAACATCCCAACTTATTGGCCAAAATCCTGTTAAGAAGAACCATGTTTTCCCCTGCTGGTTTGCTGTTCATTACATGACTGGGCATGTAAATCTTTCTCTGATCTGACGCAGAGAAGCACAAGGGCCAGCTGGCATAACTGGTAGGATTGCTTGGGTGATTGCCTGCTTATGCTGTCCAAACGCAACAGATTCTTGTAGCTCAGTACTTCTAGGCTCTTAGACCAAGGTTATGCTGGTGCTAGAGCACCAACACAGTAGAATTTTCTTCCCTTCCCCATCTCCTGACAGCCCTATGACCCATCTAAAAACTAGCTCCAGAGGGTTTCCAAGCACCAGAAGCTATTTTGGGAACTCCATGGGGACCAGGGTAGAGAAGGGGACATGATGATATAGGGAGAACTGTCAATGAAACTGCATCTTTGGATTCTACCCTAGATTTGACCAGAATTTGGCAAAGTTGCTTTTTTTTGAACTGTACCTCCCAGAATCATTGGCTACACTGGTTCAAAGGTTCTAGGAGCTCCCGTCTCAAAAAGTCACCTTCCTAAGTTTTGGGTCTGACCAGTGTTCTATGAAAAACCACACAGAAAAGATTCAAGAAAGCCCAAGGAAAGAAATAATGGTGTACATTATAATAGGCTTAAGTCTTCTCTATTTGCCCCTTCTCTTTCTTTTTTAAAAGAATCTGTATTGAATGAAAATGGAAACAACAACTACAACAGCAATAAAATGATAATAGTATAGGTCTTTAATTAGAAGTGTATAGTTTGATATAGTTCTTTCACACCAGTATAATTTGTATCAGATTAAAATATCACACCAAACATTGACATGGGAGGCTGGTGGAAATTATGTAGCATTCCAGAGAAAATAAATATTCCATATACTTGTTGGCTCCCATCCTCCACATCACTACCATTAGAAATAAAATCTCAGGATTGGGGGAAATTGAAAGGGCTTTACTTTCTCCCTATAAAATATAATTCAATACCACTCTTCATTATCTTTCTGCATCCTTAGGAATGCAGTAAAAATTAGGAAAAA